TAGCATGGGTCAGGGAAAAGGGGGTTTTGACAGCACCCTGCCCAAACAGCACAAGAACAGATGCATCGGCCAACAGATGGCCACTCACAAAGGATACTCCAACTCACCATGGGCATCCAATGACAGTGAATGGGGGAATTCCCTCCCCTTGGTAGCAGGTTTAAAACAAGCCAAAGGAAGTTTTCCTTCACTCAGCGCACAGTTAACCTGTGGAACTCCTTGCCAGAGGATATGGTAAAGACCAGGACTTCAACAGGGGTCCAAAAAGCACTAGATACATTTGTGGAGGTCAGGTCCATCAATGGTTATTAGCCAAGTTCCCTGGCCTCTATTTGTCTGGAAATGGATGACAGGGGAGGGATTACATGAGGATTCCCTGTTGTGTTCCCTCCCTCTGGAGGATCTGGCACTGGCCACTGTTGAGGCAAGAAGGGTTACAGAACCTCGACAGTGAGATTGGTCTTGCTCCTGCCCTGCTGACTCCTCTCAGGGTGCCCTCACACTTTCCAAAGCAGCGAATTAGGCACATTTGCGATACTGTCACACTCCCGGAGCTGAGCCTTTCACAGATGTATTCAATCAAGAGAAACTCAGGGGCTCTCGCTGATTTACGTCTCTGACCCTCTACAACACTCAGCTTCCACTAGTGAGGTGAGAAATCAGCGGTCGCAAGACACCTGCGCTGTCGCCCCCGTCGCTTGCCAGGCCCTGGGGACTGGTTTCTGCAGCACTGCTATGAGCTGAGTTCCGTGCATCAGGATGATGAAGGTTTAATGGTGCACAGACAGCACCGTGCTTAACTGAACCTTGTATACACAGAGCGTTCCAGTGCGGAGGACGCTGAAGACGTGTGGGATTGCTTGCAAACAGGGACCTCGATTGTTCCTGAGATTGGAGCCTTGGAAACACGTCGTCTCAAGGTGGAAGGATAATGTCAGATAGCTTGACTTAGAATTATAATACATGCTAAGTGATATTGCTGGAAATCCTTCACAAAGAGCTGCTGTGTGTTACAAGACAATGGACAAGATGCTGAAGATCAATTTCAGTTTAGAAAAGGGGAGACTAAGGGGGGCTAGGATAGAGGTCTATACAATCGTGACAGCTGGGGAGAAAGTGAATAAGAAAAGTTATTGACTTGTTCCCACAATATAAGAACGAGGGGGGTCGCCAAATAAAATGAATACATAGCAGGTTTAAAACAAAAAAAAGGAAGTTTTTCTTCACACAGTGCACAGTCAACCTGTGGAACTCCTTGCCAGGGGGGGGTTGAGAAGACCAGGAGTTTAACAGGGTTCAAAAAAGAACTAAATACATTCATGGAGATTAGGTCCATCAATACGTATTAGCCAGAATGGGGAGGAATGGTGTCCCTCGCCTCTGTTTGTCAGGGTCTGGAGATGTATGACAGGGGAGGGATCACTTGATTATTCCCTGTTGTGTTCACTCCCTCTAGGGCATCTGGCATTGGCCACTGTTGGCAGACAGGATACTCGGCTAGATGGATCTTTATTATGGCCTTTCTTATGTAATTTGATGCAAAATTAATTTTAACTTTAACCCTATAAATGGTTCAGGCCGAAACGTTGGGTTTATTAATTGCACCATTGCAGATTTAGATTAATTAACCTCATACCATTTGGCTCTGTTAAGGTCTATTGCATTAGCCTCTTATTGAACCATACCATTATGTATGTTTGTATTACTGTTGTACTGACCAGCACCGCATGAAGTTGGGTGCCATACGTGGCGACACACCGTCTCTCGAGTTATTTTTCTTATGGTACAAGCCAACGTTCAGTCTTGAGCAGACGTTACATTGTTGGTCCCTTTTGTCTGCACAGAGGCAGTGGAGGGGAAGCTGTTGGAGGAGCAGGAGAGATTTTGTTCAGTCGCCTTGTCCTCTGATTTGAGTCCGCCGTGCTCAGGATGGAGTTGCCCACTGGAAACTGACTCAAGGCTAAAATTCGGAAGAGACGAGGTTAGCCTGCATGCTGTTTGCCCATCTCTGGGCTGGGGCATGGGGGGGAAAGGTTCTGCTTAGAATGTACCTAGATTTCACATCACTGATAGCTCTTCTGCTGGCCAGCCAACCTGCAAAGGGTCACATGAGTGCCAGAAATGGACATGGGCATCAGAAGACACGTAGTTTTCCTGCCAGTGTTACTAACGTGACTCCCACCTGAAGCCAGATGAAGGGAGGTGGGTGCTGATTGCACATGCATTGACCGTGAGAACTGGGTGCTCCCTCTGCAGCCAATCACAGTGCTGCTATGGGACCCTCTGCAAATTCTGGGCATGCACGTGCAGTGAGCAACACTGCCCTCTCCCGGGAGACCCCCTTGGTTCGGACTATCTGAGTAACCACATGGCCCCCTCACTAGCCTCGCTTGCCCATCGCCGATGGAGTAGGAATAGTCCCAGCAAAGAGTTAATTGTGATTGGCCAACATTTCTCTTTTATAAACCTAAGTGCTTATAATGACCTGGCTGCATCCACGCACCGCATTGCTTTGCTGGCTGCGTTTCAAGTTCTGTGTCCGACCAAACCTGTTAAACCAGTATCAGGATGCGCCAAGTAAATGGAGGGGAAAAAAAATCTGATCTTGGTATAAAGACGATGTGTCTAGTAACTGAGCGCTGGCTTTGCCTGTGCATTACACTGGCCTTTCGGACCGGGGGCCTTGTTCCTGATGCACACCACGAAGTGACTGAAACGTGGCGACATTCCCAATCTTCCTACGTGTGGCGATTTCAGTCCCGGGCCGATATCCACCCAGTGAAGGCTAAAGGAACAGCTATTTCACCAGGACCTCGGCTACCTGTCTCTGGCTGGTTTTAATGAGCAAGGCATTTCAGGGCACAGGGCCCATGGCTCTACGATAACGGATGAGCTGCCATGCGTGGAGAGAAGACTCAGAGTCCTGCCAGGAAATCGGCAGTGACCTCCAGTCTAACTCTTGAGATGTAGGCTCTCAGGGTTCCGTTCTAGCCCACATCTATCCAGCACCTCGGTACCCCATTGCCAGTCCCAGACTAGGCAACCCACCTGGGAACGTGTATGTATCTGTGGACATTATTCAATCTGAGTGGTGTTACCTCGTCTCTCCACTGTGCTTTAACGATACTGATCACGTCAGAGTTCCCACCGACACTCGGAGGGGTTCTGTTGGACAATCAGACCCAGAATTATCAGAACTACTGGTCAGCTGGGGACCCCGCCGTGTCTGGTGGCAACATCCACCCTTAGGAAAAGCTTCCGAACCTGCCGTGGTTCCGTTCACGGTTAGCAAGAGCCCAACGAGGGTCGGTAGAGACAACACAAGCCTCTGAGCCGCCCTAGACTCACCCCGTCCTTTGCAAAAGGACCCAAAGTGTCAATCACCCGCAACATCCTCCCCATCATCACCCTCCCCAGTGGCCATCACCCTGGCCTCTCCCACAGCCGGCGGGCCAGGAGGCAGCTGCTATGGTATGCGAGAATGATGCTCACTATGTCTATGCCTCGCCAGCGAATAACTATGGCTGCCGGCTACACGGCTGACCTCTGGCTTAGTCTTTTTCACTTAACGAGACAGCAGCCTGGTACACAAATGCCATATCACACACCAGACGAGACAGGGCAGCCCTCTGGAATAGAAAGAGCATGTGAGGGACACCGGCAGGAGAGGGCAAAAGTCACTAACTCCCCATGGGTGTGCCACCACAGCATGGCCCATACCCAGCCTCAGTTTTGGATTCCACCCATGATGACTGCTAATAACCGGCTCCGCTGGGCAGAATATTAGGAGTTCTGGGCTGCCAATTCATCAAGGTTTTAAACCGACCCGGGAAGCCCGGGCGGGATGGAGGACTGCAGAAGAGTTGGTTCTGGCCGGTGGGACCGCAGAGGCGGTAGGAAGAAGTAAAGCAGGACAGACGAGCGAGACGAGGAGGACGCGGAGACCATCTGTGGAGTATGTTTACAGGGAGGCTGCAAAAGGAGTAAGGTCGATGTGTGTTGTGCAAACTCTTCATACACATCACCTTGTCCTCCATGCCGTGAAAAACCAGAGTTCCTTGCAGGCCAGAAGTCTAAAGTTTTGACTCTGATGGTGGATTACGATCAATGCTTTTGAGTGATTGCTACGAGTGATTGGCAATTAGATAGAAAAAGAGGCACACTGTGTTTGGAAAGACGGCGTTACACGCAGGCGGCCTTCCTTACCCTCGCCGATGACTGGCTCACATCAAGAAGGGATTGAAACTGAAACTCTGATGACTTGGCTTTTAAGAGCTCAAACGTATAAAATCCACATCTCTCCGCTTTCCCTGGGCTGAGATGGTAAGAGGGTTTCTGGAGGTGTGCGCGCTCCTATTGCGTTCCTGGAATCCAGTCTCTCTTGCTATAAACCTGGGCAACCAGGTAGGTGTCCCATCCATTCTGGTGTCCTGCAGAGGCTGAGTGTGTGGCTGGTTTGTCTCACTAAGAACCAGAACTTTTAATTTGCCTGGATGCTATTTGCCCTCTTAGTTGTTCTATTTCACTTTTTGCAGACTGCGAAACTAAACATTAACCCAAATTTCAGAGCCTGAGAGACATCAGCGGGAGCAGGACAATGGCATTCTAGAAGGACCAGACCGGTTCCAGAGGGCGCAGAATGTTCTAGAACATTCTAGAAGCACGGGCCTGGGTGAGTCACCTCAGCTTGCCCCATAGCGAGGCAGGGAAATCCCCCATAGTCCGGGATCAGCCTTCTAGCCTGTTTGTGGGCCAGGAACAGTGGGGCACAACGCTCAGGGACAGTGCGCTTTGAACTCTACACTATGGCCGGGCTCCTGCAACGAGCGATCATGGCGTGTCGCTTGCCATGCACAAGCAGCTCCTGAAAGTCCAAGAGG